CCTCGTTTTGCTGGGGTGTTTGTCATCACTTTTGGCTCTGTTTTTCGGTGGTTTGTATATCAGATCCAGGTCAGTGTGTTTGTTGATGGAGTTACTGGAGTTTTGTTGGAATGTCAGGCCTCCAGGAATTCCATGGCATGTCTCTATTTGGCTTGTGCTATTATGGATGTGTTGTCCCAGTCGAATTCGTGTCCTTCTTTGTCCGTGTGTATTGAGACCAGTGAGAATTGGTCAGTCTCTTGGTGGCTAGTTGGTGTTTGTGTATCCTTATTGTCAGTTTTCTTCAAGTTTGGCCAATGTAATGTTTCTCACAGTCCTTGCATGTTATTTTGTATATTGCGTTAGTTTTATTGGTTGTGGGTATGGAATCCTTTACGTTTGTCAGTAGCTGTCGTAGGGTGGATGTTGGTTAGTGGGCTATCCTGATACCTAAAGATCTGAGTAGTCTTGTGGTCATCTCTGGTATGTCTCTGATGTACGGGAGGGTGACTAGTATGTGTGGCTGTGTTGTATCTTCTTGTTGTGGTCTGTCGCGGAGGTAATGGTGGATTGTGCTTTTTGGGCAGTTCTGAGGAAGGGTCACTGGACCTGAAACATTAACTCTGATTTTTTCTTCACAGATGCAGACAGACCTGCTGAGCTTTTCCAGCAACTTCTGTTTTTGTTCCTGATTTACAGCATCTGCAGTCCTCTCGGTTTTTACACCATCCTGGAGTCTGGCTAACGGCACAGAAACACCTATCTGTGGCCCTAAATGTAGAGTCCCCCATCATGACTGCTCAACTACACTTTCACTGTCCCTTCTGTGCAACAGCTTCAGTCATGGTGCAACTGACCTCGCCTCTGCTTTCCCTTGAGAGGCCGCTCCCCCCACAGAAGTATCCAAAATGCTATACCTGTTTTAGAGGGGAATGGCCACTGGGGACACATGCACTACCTGCCCACATTTACATGTTTTCCTGGCAGTCACCCTGGTGGCATGACCAGCTTGTGCTATGTGCTATCCACAACGTTCTCAGCCTCATAAAAGCTCCATAATGAGTCCATCGCAGCTCCAGGCACTCCATGCAGCAAATAAGGAGCTGCAGCTGAACTCACTTCCTGCATACGTAGTCACAGGAAGTGTTACTGATTTTCCACATATTGCAGGAGGAGCATTCCATGCGTCCACATTCACCTGTCAATTTGAATCTGACCAACTGCAGACCCTAACCCTGTCTCAAGACAACCCAATCCAATAATAACCAAACTCAGGTTCTCTCACTCCTGCTCTCTAGACCTAGCAGATTACAATCACAAAAAGTGAGTTTTGTTTTGCAAAAATATTCATGAAGAATTATCTTTGTGTACATTTGCAGGTGCTAAAGTAGTTCTATACAGCCTGATAACTGAACAAAGCCTCAATATACTTCAGAAGAAAGACCTTAGATGGTAGTCTTTCCCATTGCCAGTACCAGTAGGAGCTGCTGAAGGACAGACAGTTGCTAATGCTTTACACCAGGGCGTACACGTTAACTAGTCTTAGGGAAGCATTGTTCTACGTGATGTCTGCTACAAGGAGCCACTTGACAGGATTGACCCTCTACTTTTTTCCCACAGCATCTTGAGGATGCTACGTGCAGATTACTTCATGACAAAGTTGTGGTCAAAGGTGTTTGTCTTTGCAAATTTTTTCAGGATGGACGGGTGAGACTAGGACCCGAGGGCACAATCTTAGAATAAAGGGAAGACCTGTTAGAATGGAAATAAGGAGAAACTTCTTCAGCCAGGGAATGGTGAATCTATGGAATTCATTGCCACAGAAGGATGTGGAGGCCAGGTCATGGAGTATATTTAAGACAGAGATAGATAGGTTCTTGATTGTCATGGGAATGAAGGGTTTATAGAATGGAATAGAATAATAGAATCCTTACAGTGTGGAAGCAGGCCATTTGGCCTTTTGAGTCCAGACCTCCCTTTTGAAGAGCATTCCACCCAGGCCCAGACCCATTTTTCCCATGGCTAATTCACCTAGCCTACACACCCCTGGACACTATGGGCAATATAGCATGGCCAATCCACTTAACCTGCACATCTTGGGATTGTGGGAGGAAACTGGAGCACCCAGAGGAAACCCACGCAGGCACGGGGAGAATGTGCAAACTCCACACAGATAGTCGCCTGAGGCTGGAATTGAACCCGGGTCCCTGGCGCTGTGAGGCACCAGTGCGAACCACTGAGTCACCGTGCCGCCCGGTTACGGGGAGAATGGAATTGTGAAACTTGTCAGCCATGATTGAATGGCGGAGAGCACTCGGGCTGAATTGCCTAATTTCTGCTTCTATGTCTTAAGGTCTAATGATATGGAGCAGTCCAACTGCGTTCTGCAGTGCTGAGGCCAGACCCATCCTTTGCAACACTGGGACAGTTAGAACCTCAGTATGTAGTGACACTTGGTGTTTGCACTGCACAACAAAATAGACATCAGAATGAGGGCGGCGTTGGGTACATTCTCCCTCTCCCTCCCTATCCAGAGCTTCAAGTGACTGCAACAGCATAGATTCAGAGAATGGGCCAGACCCACGCCACGTACAGCAACACTGAGAGTACTTCACACCTGATGACCAGGTTTTTACCCGGAACGGAGAGAGAGCAGTGCTCCCAAAAGCCCAGTTTCTCCCTCACCTTGGTTATATGCTCCTCCCAAGTTTTTGTGCTCACTCCAGCCCCTTTGAACCATATTCCCAGCACCTTCAGGTAATCTGTACTGATGGTGAAGGGGATAAAGGATTGGCCGGCCCAGTTCCCAAAGAACATGGCCTCACTCTTGCCTCGATTCACTTTCGTTCCCGAGGCCAGTTCATACTGGTTGCAGATGCTCATGAGTCTGTGCACTGACAGCAGATCCGAGCAGGAAACGGTGATGCTCCCATGAACAGGTAGACTTTGATTTGCAGGTCTATACTGCCTGGAATAGCCTCCCCTCTCAGGCTTGCATCCTTCCTGATGGACTTTGTAAAAGGCTCTATACGACCCACAAACAAGGCAGGAGAGAGAGAGAGCAGCCCTGTCGGATGCCAAATCTGATTGGGAAGCTTGCTGATTGCTACCCGTTGATTGAGACTGCACTACTGATGTTGGTGGAGAGCAGTCAGATCCAACTGGGGATTCCCTCTCCAAAGCCCATTTTGGAGAGCACATCCTGCATGAGGAGGTGGAATTTATTCTTTCAGAAGATTGTGAGTCTTTGGAACACCTTGCCACTGAGAGCTATAGAGGCAGAGTCCTTATTAGGACTTGAAATAGGTAGATTCTTGATCATTAGGAGAATCAAGAGTTCCGGGTTAAAGGCAGGAAAGTGGATGTGAAGCGTGGTGGATCAGCAATCTCTTTTATTCATTCATGGGATGTGGGCATCACTAGCTGGACCAGCATTTATTGCCCATCCCTAATTGCCCAGAGGGCAGTTAAGAGTCAACCACAGTGCTGTGGGTCTGGAGTCACATGTAGGCCAGACCAGGTAAGGATGGCAGATTTCCTTTCCTAAAGGATGTTAGTGAATCAGATGGGTTTTTCCTGACTATCAGCAATGGTTTCTGGTCATCATTAGATTCTTAGTTCCAGATTATTATTGAATTCAAATTCCACCATCTGCCACAGCGGGATTCGAACCCAGGCCCTCAGAACATTTTCTGAAGAAGGGTCTAGGCCCGAAACGTCAGCCTTCCTGCTCCTCTGATGCTGCTTGGCCTGCTGTGTTCATCCAGCTCTACACCTTGTTCCCTCAGAACATTACCTGGGTCTCTGGATTAATAGTCTAGTGATAATACCTCTAGGCCGTCGCCTACCCATGCCTAGCAATGATCCTGTTGAATGATGGAGCTGACAGAAGGGGCCAAATGGCCGACTCTTGTTCTTATTTCCTACGGTCTTATACTGTCATTCTCACCTCACCTCTGGAATTCAGCTCTTTTGTCATTTTTGAAGCAAGGCTGTACTGAAGTCAGGAGCTGACTGGCAAAACCCGAATTGGGCCGAGGTTTTTTAAGCCATTTATGGGATATTGAGCATCAGTGGCTGGCCAGCATTGTTGCCCATCCCTAGTTGCCTTTGAGAAAGTGATGGTGAGCTGCCTTCTTGAACCGCTACAGTTCACCTTCTGTAGGTTGACCCACAATGTCTTTAGGGAGAGAATTCCAGTATTTTGACCTGGCAACAGTGAAAGAATGGTGATATATTTTTTAAGTCAGGACAGCAAGTGACTTGAAGAGGGGTTTGCAACTGGTGATGTTGCCATGTATCTGCTGCCCTTGTCCTTCTAAATGGAAGTGATCATGGGTTTAGAAGGTGCTATGTAAGGATCTTGAATTTCTGCAGTTTATCACCTAGAGGGGATACATTGTTGCTACAGAGCATTGGTAATGGAGAGAGTGGATGTTGTGCCAATCAAGCGGGCTATTTTGACCTTGATGATGTCAAGCTTCTTGAGTGTTATTGGAGCAGCACTGATCCAAGCAAGTGGGGAGTATTCCATCACACTCCTGACTTGTACCTTGTAGATGATGGACAGGATTTGAGGAGTTGGGAGGTGAGTTACTCGCTGCAGTATTCCTAGCCTCTGACCTGATCTTGTAGCCACTGTGTTTATGTGGTGAGTCTAGTTGAGTTTCTGGTCAATTGTAACCCCCCCCAGGATTACAAATATCAAGAGGCTTTGGTTAGATTGTCTCTGATAAGAGACAATCTTTATTATTATTATTAAAACATATATTTACAATTATTATTTTTGGCATGAATTTTAGCCACTTCTGCCCAAGCTTGAATATTCTCCAGATCTTGTTGCATTTGACCATGGACTGCTTCAGTATCTGAGGAGTCGTGAATGGTGCTGAACATTGTACAATCATCAGTGAACATCCCCACTTCTGACCTTATGATGGAGGGAAGGTCAATTGTTCAGCCTGGACTGGTTGGACCGAAGGGTCTGTTTCCGTGCTGTATGACCCTAGGACACTACCCTGACGAACTCCTGCAGAAGTGTCCTGGAGCTGAGATGACTGACCTCCAACAACCACAACCGTCTTCCTGTGTGCCAAGTATAACTCCAATTAGCAGAGAGTTTGCCCCCTGATTTTTAAGGTGAGAGACGAGAGATTTAAAAAAGACATAAGAGGCAAATATTTTACACAGGGAGGATGGTTTGCATGTGGAGTGTACGTCCTGATGAAATGATGAATGCGGGTACAATTACAACATTTAAAAGACATTTGGATGGATATATGAATAGGAAAGGTTTGGAGGGATATGCGGCAGGAGCAGGCAGGTGGGACATCCGAAAGAACTGTGGATGCGGTAAATCAGGAGAAAAAACAGAAGTTGCTGGAAAAGCTCAGCAGGTCTGGTAGCATCTATGAAGAAAATATCAGAGTTAACGTTTCGGATCTGGTGACCCTTTCTCAGAACTGATCTGAGGAAGGGTCACCGGACTCGAAATGTTAACTTCAGCAAAAGTGCCAAGTGGGTAATTCATCTTCACCTCCTTCATTGGTCCCCAGCATAACAGATTCTAATCTTCAGCCAATTTGTCACTCCATATGATATAAGAACATAAGAAGTAGGAGCAGGAGCAGGCCATCTGGCCCTTCGAACTCCGCCATTCAATAAGATCGTGAGGTGATGCATTTTGGAAGGTCAAGTACAGGTAGTAATCTGCCTTCTTGTTTTTCGTTGGAAGTGTAAAACTTCACATTTATCCAAATTATACTGCATCTGCCATTGATCTGCCCACTCACTGAACGTGTTGAGACCATGCTGAAGGATCTCTGCATCCTTGTCACAGTTTACCCCCCCATCCAACTTGGTATCATCTGCAAACTTGGAGATGTTACATTTTGTTCCCACATCCAAATCATTAATATATATTGTGAATAGCAGGGGTCCCAGCACCAATCTCTGTGTCACCCCACTCTTAACTCATTTGAAAAGGATCCATTAATTCCTGTTCTTTGTTTCCTCTCTGCCAACCAGTTTCCTATCCATCTCAGTACGCTTGCCCCAAACCCATGTGTTTTAATCTTGCACATTAATCTCTTACGTGGGACTTTGTCAAACGCTTTCTGAAAGCCCAAATATACTACATCGACTGGCTCCCCCTTGTCAGCTTTACTAGTTGCATCTTCATAGAATTCCAACAGATTTGTCATCCTTTCTATATATTTAAACAAGCTCTTATTGTCAGTTTTTATATTCCTCACCAGCTTGTCTCATTTTGTGTAAATCGGCCTTTGCTGGATTTTGACTTTATCCCAGTATTTATTCTCAGGCTGTCACTGACTTTTGCCTCCTTAAATGATTAAATGAATTCTCTCCTTAACTTCCTCAGTTTGCCATGTTTATCCCTCTTAGAATCTTTCCTCCTGATTGACTTGTGTTTTTGTTGAGAGTCATGAGTTACCTCTTTAAATGTTTGCCACTATTTGCTTACTGTCATTCCTGCTAAGCTTTCTGTCCAGTTCACTTTAGTTAGCTCCATCTACATCTCATTGTAATTCCCTTTATTTAAATTAAATACAGTTTGAACCAGGATGACCTAATATCTGCTGGCTCATTTAAACTGTGGTCATGGATGATGCAATCTGTGATTGGTATTAATTTTCTATGTTAATTACCTGAGACTTCAAAGTTAATTCAAGGTGGCTGGTTAAATATTTATGTTAGATGTTCTCTTTCTCTCAGCAGGTACAAATTTTAATGCCTTTTGAGAGTCCATACATGAAAACTCAGATGTGTTAATCTGAAAGAACTGGCAAATTGAATTGAAGGAAAGTTGTAATGTCTGCACCATGACATCACATAAATTTCAGTCTGCACTCTCACTTTATATTCTATCTCTGAAGAGACCTAAGCACAGTCGATCAATATGAGAAACCATCCTGTCCATGCACAGTGCACTCGATGTCCATGTCGGGTTTTTTGAGGAATGGCCTCTTTGGACCTACCCTACCGCTGTCCAAGGTGTGGTGAACACAAGCGTTTTAGAAGCCTGTCTTCATTGCGAGCCCATCTGGAATATAATCACACATACGAGACGCTTTATGTGCTTTCTAAGTCCAATAGTATCTGTGATGCTAGTGTTGACAAGTCCGTTCTGATACCTACTTCCTGTAAAGAAATATTCGAAAGTACTTCATTCAGGAGTAAAGAGCAAAGATATTTGTATGATTTACAGTGTGGGGACGATTTACCACTTGGTTCCACCTGTTACTTCCCTGAGGTTGAAGTTCCAGTTAATGATATACTCATGAGAAAGGCTGTGACATCTTCTGCTCCTCCTGCTGCTCTAGCTGCAGCAGCAGTGGATGCTGTTTATGAGGAAGGCCTGGCTCGATTAAAGATTCAAGCACTTGAGAAACTTGACTTAAATGAACGCCTAGAGAAGCTGTCAGAGGAAGTGGAGCAGAAAATCACAGCTCGAGTAGACAAACTCCAGACAGAACTTGAGAAAAAGAGCTCTGAGTTGGAGAAAGCCAAACAGGAAAGCGTGAAGTTGAGTCAAGAAAAGCAAGACCTTGAAGAAAAGGCCTCTGAGTTATCACGTCAGGTCGATGTGAGTGTAGAGATGTTGGCTACATTGAAACAAGATTTGGTGCAGAAGGACCAAGAACTTGCCAGGAAACAACAGTAAGTATACGTGTTGTCCAGAATAGTATAAAGAAATGTAAATATGGATTAATGGTTTTTCTTGGATAGTAGGAACTGCAGATGCTGGAGAATCTGAGATAACAAGGTGTAGAGCTGGATGAGCACAGC